CTTGCCAGTGAAGCCCTTATTCCACTGAGCCATCTCCCCAGCCTCCAGTCCTACATATTTAAATGTAAATGTGTTGTGTTTGTTTTGAGACAAGGCCTTGGTAAGTTGCCCAGGCTAGACTTGAACTTGTGTTACATCTGTTTCAGTTTCTGGAATTGTTGGTATTACAGGCATATGCCATCATGCTCCACTCACTTTCTTGATGGTGTCCTGTTGGGATTTATATCTAGATGTCCCCCCAAAGCCTCATGCACTCATAGGTGGGGTTTTGGGGAGGTGACTGGATCATGGGTGTGTGATACTCATCACTGGATTAGTCCTCTAATAGATTTACAACTGGGTGTGATGCTGGGAGGTAAAGTGTGATGGGAAGAGGTGCATTGTGGTAGGCATGGCCTGGAAGGGTGTGTACAATCACCCTCCTTCCTGGACCCTTTCTGCCTCCTGCTTGGCATATCATGAACTGTTTTTTCTCTATCATGCTGTCCTGTGTTGGAGGCAGCTGACTAGGGACTGAAATCGCTCCTCCTTTAAGTTGTGGGTATTGTGTTTCAGCAATAAGGAGAATATCTAAGAGTTGTCTTTTGACATGCAAACATTTTTAGCTGTGGTGAAATTCAACTTAATTATTTTTCATTTGGAGGGGTTGTTTTGGTATTGTATCTAAGAATACATTGTTTTACCAAGGCTGTGAATATACACTCCTGTTTTCTTCCAGATGTTTTATAATTTCAGCTCTTATTCTTGGGTCCTATAATCTTTTGAAAGAAATAGAAAGTCTAACACCATTTCTTTGTGGATGGTCACAAAACTTTTTATACTGTATTGAATTGCTTATTTTTCTTTACAACTAGACTGCAAGTTCCACAATGGCAGAGAAAAGTTGGTCTTACTAAATCATTTATTCATGAAAGAATGAACTAGGTAGCTTAAATATTAATTTTTGTTGGAAATTATACCAAATCTATAATAATTTTTAAAAAATCATGGTGCTGGCATTTTAAAATTTCTGATATTAACAATTCAGAAGAAAACTACCACACCAGATAATAGAAAGTATACCAACAGACAAGTTTTGGAGCAAAACTTATGTGGATTCAAACCATAACTTTATTTATATATTTATTTAGTATTTTTAGGGAAGGGTTTACAGGGTGTCAAACCATAACTTTAAAAACAGTATAACCTTGGGCAAATCACACACCCCCTAATCGCTTCTTCTATACATTATTTTCCTTTGAAATGGAGGAGGGGAGCCAGGATATAGCTCAGTAGCACAGTGCCTGCCTGGCAAGCACAAGGTCCTCAGTTCGATTCCAAGCACCAGACATCAGTAACAACAATAAATAACCAAGACAAACAAAAAATAAAATGGAAGATTTGCTCAAGAGATTGGCACCTTGTAACTACAATACTGTGTGTTGTAAGCATTCATCTCATAGTAGCAGTTATTTATTAGTGCAAAAGGGTAGCTGCAATATTGAGATCTTTAACACATTTGTCTCAATAAGATGCCATCCAATGACTTGTGGGTAGTTTTTTCAATACATAGGATTGAGCTCAGACCTTTGCATTGAGCTATATCTGCAGCTTTTTTAAATTTTGAAACAGGGTTGCATTAAATAGCCAAATTGTCCATTTGGGTTAGAATTTGTGATCCTCCTACTTCAGCCTCCTAGAGTGCCAGGGTTACAGAAATGCGCCACTTTAGACTAGTTTTTTTTTCCTTTTTTTGGTATTTTAATACGGGGTCTACAGGGTCTCACTATGTAGATTGGACTCATAGTGATCCGCCTGTGTTCACCCTCCCAAGAGCTGGGATTACAGGTGTGTGCCACCACAGGGGCGGGGCAAGCACAGCATGCAGGGATAGAATACCCCACCCCACCCCTGCTGCGTCTGCTAAGCTATTTGGCCGGCTCTTAAAACTAGTTTTTGATTCAGAAAGGGCATACAGAGAAACATAATCCAATATGAGAATGACCCTACATAGATGTGTATGTTCTGGAGCTCAAAAGGAGTGCCACAAAGGAAACTCCTCTTTGGGTGTAGGAGGTTTTTTGTTTTTGTTTTTGTCTTTTTGAGACAGGGTCTCACTATGCAACTCAGGTTCACTTTGAGCTCACTTTGTAGCCCAGGCTAGTCTTGAACTCGCAGCAATTCTCCTGCTTCAGTTTCCCAAGTGTTGGGATTATTAAAGGCGTGCACCACCACGCCCAGCTTTTGGGTGTGAGGAATTAGAAGGAATCAGAAGAGAGATTCTAGTCATTTTGGATCAATGAAATGGGACACATATTTCAGGTTTGTAATTAAGTTGCTTACATGTCAGTCTCTTCTAGAGAGCAGCAACTACATCTTAAGTGACCTTTAAATCTCTAGCACAGGATACTACCAATTGTTGAACTGATGGTCCCTTAACTATCCTCTAAGACCAGAAGAGGTTTCTTTTTTTTTCAGAAGAGGTTCTTTAGAGAGGCATGGAGAAGACAGTTGGGGTTGAAAAGACCTCGGACCCATTGCCAAGGAAAGAAGAGCTGACACAAGTTGGTCCGAAACTCAAATTGGACGCAAAAACCTGGAAAATCTAGGACGGGCTCCCAGCCCATCCGGATCACTTCCGGGAGGGGCGGGAAGATCAGAGGAGGCGTGCCGTGAAGGAGGCCGTTTGTAGTGCACCAGGCGGAAGTGTGCCAAAGAGATCAGCGCTACCGCTTCCGGTCTGCTAAAACGCGGGTTAGGTAAGCGGCGTGGTCTGTGTCATGTGGCGGTAGGCTTCTGCGCTCAAGACAGCAAGTGAGAAAGCCACTACCAGCATCCAGGCTCAGAAATCTGGATTCTAGTGGAAAGACCGGTTTAAAAAAAGAGCCAGGAACCTGAATACATCCGTCCGCTGTTTCCGAGGGGGCAATTCCGCGGGGAACCCCTCTGCCCTGGTAACGGCTAAAGAGGAGATGGCGCCAGCCAGGGAGCGGCTGTGGCCAAGACAGTGAGGAAGCGCGAAGGCGGAGCGACCAGGAAGCCTGAGAAGAAGAATCAGAGCTGTCGCTGTCACCACTGCCGCAACCACCATGGAAGGAGCAAAGCCGACATTGCAGCTCGTGTATCAGGCAGTCCAGGCGCTTTACCATGACCCAGATCCCAGCGGAAAGGAGCGCGCCTCGTTTTGGCTTGGGGAACTGCAGCGTTCGGTGAGGGGCCCCCCGGAGGCCGTTCTTTGCCGCGGGGCCAGGGCGGAGTGGGACCTCGCCTCGGGGGGAGCGCCTGAGCTGGCCGGTTGGCCTCGTGAGGTCCTCTTGGGGAGGAGCTGCTGTGGTGGGGTGGGGCTGCGAAGCTACACCTCTGGATCTTTTCGGAAGCTAGTAGCAGCTGATCGGTCGCGAATTGACCCTTTCGCCACCCCGTAGAAGCTGATTTGTAGGTCCTGTACTTCTCGCTTGTGGGCTTCCATCCCTCTTTACGTTCCACCCTTGCTATTGCTTCTCAGCCTGTGCGGTTCTGTTTTGTCTTCCTTCAACCCAGTCCAACCACAGTGTTTCTCCACCTTCGCTTAGGATGCCTTGTGCGCCTCCCCCTCGTGTCCAAGTGTTGGATCTGGCAATTTCTTCCCAGTTGTACCCTTACTTTATCTCGCTGTTCTTGCCGATTTTCACTCTTGAGTTCATTATTCTCGAAATTTCTCAGGTTTCTAGATTCATAGACATATAATCTGTCCCTTACTTTGTAGTACAACATAACTGAAAAAAATCAATGCTGGTTTCAAAAACTCACAGGAGTTTCTCATTTTTGCTTCCTTTATTTCCCCGAGTTTTTATTTGGGTATCATAACCGTGAACATCCGGTGGAGTATTTGTCTATTACATCGTATTTTTGCGTTCTTTTATTCATATGTTTTATATTTTCTACCCTAATTTTTACACTCACCTCGTCTGATTTATTTCTGTGTATACTAGGTGATCTTTCTTACTTGGGTCCTAAATGTAGGATTTACTTTATGAATTGAGAAATATTTTGAAAACTGGAGAGACTGATACAGACTGACAAAACACCTTTAGCCTTTTTTTTCCTCCCCCTCCTTTTTTAAACAATGCTGTTGATAAGTTCAGGGTCCAGGATCCAGGGAAGGTCAACCAAGTGCTCTACTACTAAGGCCCTTACATTTCCCTTGATTTTTGTGTTTTGTATTCAGAAGTATATTCTTCTGTTCACCCCCTTCCCTTTTATCTGTGTAACTCATAACTGATATTTAAAGATGCTCTGCCCTATTAAATGAGCTATACGTGTATAATAAATAGTTAAAAACTTGCAACTTTAGTGTTCTGTGGTTTTTTTGGTTTTCTTTTTTTGTTTTTTTGAGACAGGGTCTCTCTGTGCAGTTTAGGTTGGCCTCGAGTTCACTTTGTAGCTGAGGCTGGTCTCGAATATGCAAAGATCCTTCTGCCTCAGCCTACTAGAGCTGGGATTACAGGTGTGTGCCACCACACCGGGCTCTCTGTGACTTTAGTTTTGAATATTACATTTAAAAACTTGGAGCCCAATTCTTTGTTTAGCTTGTGGGAAGACAAAGGAATGACTAGTGTAGGTTCCCTGGGCAAGTCATTCACATATGGTCTCATTTATTGTTTGGCTTCTGTGGTCTGGGAGCCACAATTCCCTGATCTTCATGTCAGATTTTTTTGAGACAGGGTCTTGCTATGCTGCCTTGAACTAACAGTGCCATCTTCCTGCCTCAGCCTTCCTAGTGCTTCGTGTTATTTTCTAAAATAGAAATAGGAAGTGTACCTCCATGCCTAGCTTCCTGTTTTCTAAAATATAAATAGGAAAACTATGGCTCGTGGCTGTAATCCCAACACTCTTGGGAGCCTGAGGCAGGAGAATTGCAAACTACAGTCCCAACTGGGCAATTTAGGGACTTAGTAAGATTGCCTCAAGATAAAACAATAGAAAGGTTGGGCGGTGTATCTGACTGGGGGGCCTGGGTCCAGTCTCCAGTATTGGGGGTGGTGGTGGTTGGGGGAAAATATATACAGGTAGATAGTGCTAAACAGTATTTAAAAAGTGAGCTTTTCCCTACTAATCTTGCTTATTAAAATCGTAAAGTAGTGCCAGCAGCTGTGCTGGGTGTTGGTATTTGGAAATGAACTAGACGGAAATCTATGCTATGGGTAATTGTGATGATTACATTTGTTAATATCTACAAAAAGCTTAGAAAAGTTCTTCAACATAGAGCTTAGAGTATGTTAGCAGTTGTTAGAATAAGAAAAATCACTCATATCCTACGTCATCATTATTATCACTATTAGTAAGGTTTCAGCAGGAACAGATTACACATTTGGCAGGGTAATTCAAGAAGAGTCTGTTTTATAAAGGTATTGAAGCCTACATAGTAAGTTTGTAGTGGTGTTTCTGTTGGTGTGGTAGTCTTTATCTGGTAGTATTCCTTTTTCTTGGATTTCTTTATTTCTTATCTTACCAGGTATTGGGCCAGTTGATGGTTTGATTCAGAATATAAAAGTATGGGGGAAACCATTTGGGACCCCTCCTGTCTCAGGAGCCATTCCTATTCCCCATTCCTTTTGTTTTCTCTTTTCTTTTCTTTCTTTCTTTTTTTTTTTTTTTTTTTTTTTTTTTTTGGCAGAACTGAGGATTGAACTCAGAGCCTTGCGCTTGCCAGGGAAGTGCTTTTTCTACTGAGCCACCTCCCCGGCCCCTTCCTTCTTTTTTGATAGGAGAACAGGGACTCACTCTGCAGTTCAGATTGGTCTCCAGAAGTTGGTCTTAAACTCAGTGATCGGGGGCGTGCCCCTTAGCTCAGTTCTTTAAGTGGCTGCTTCAACAAAGCAGTCAGGCTCAGGTTGCTGTGGTTCGATCCCCACAACTCAAGCCAGCCAAACCTTCCCTGAAGGCATTCGGAGCAAAAAAAATAAATAAAAAATAAACTCAGTGATCCTCCTGCTTCACCCTTCTGAGTGCTGGGATTATAGATGTGTGCCCTCATACCTAGTCCCATTCCTTTTCTCCAATAAATTTTCCTACTCAAAAAATACAAAAAGGTTAAGAAGGCCCATGTAACACATCCTGAACTGAAAAGCACCTTTTCCTGCCAATAGTTGGTGTGAAAAAGAATCCTTCATCACCACTGTATACAACTTTGGGTGTTATTACCAAAGGAACAGTGATTGAGGTGAACGTGAGTGGGTTGGGCCTTGTGACACAAGGAGGCAAGGTTATTTGGGGTAAATATGCCCAGGTAACCAACAACCCTGAAAATGATGGATGCATCAATGCAGTCCTACTAGTTTGACAGAGGTTTCATGCAATAACTTCTCACACTTACTGAAGACTACAGACCAATCAGGAAAACCATAATTTGCATACTACTGAACAACTCTCAGTACTACATTCATCAAGAAAACTATTTGTTAATTAGTAAAAATATTACAATGGCCCAGTTTTACAAAAAAATAAAATATAGTATAAGTGAAGTATAAAACAAAAGATTCATAGAATTTGTAACGCTCCAGCAAATATAATAAAATAAATATGCACATTAGAAAAGGAAAAAAAATACAAAAAGGATAAAATTATCAGGTCACCACTACATTTCCTAATTCTAATACAGTTTTTCCAAAAGCTTGCCAAATATTTTAACTTTCTTTAATTTCATTTATGATTGATTTGATGTATAAGGGAAATAGAAAGTTGTGGTTTTTTAGAAAGTTTTTATATTTCTTATTTATTTACTTATTTGAGGCAGAATCTCTCTGTGTAGGCTAAGCTGGCTTCAAACTTGTGATCCACCTGCCTCAGCCTCTCAAGTATATTACATACATTCTTCGAGGTACCTCTTGTGAGTGGAATCATGTGGTGCTTGACATTTTCTGACAGGTTTTTTTCACTTAGCATATCCTCAGGATTCATCTATGTTGTAGTACAGGTTAAATTTATTTCCTTTATTTAATTTTTGATACAGGGTTGTCTCGCTATGCAGTTTGGGCTGGTTCTGTGCTCACTTTTGTAGTTCCCTCCAGGCTGATCTTGAACTTGCAGCAGGGGCTGGGGAGATGGCTCAGTGGAATAAGCGCTTTCCTGGCAAGCGCAAGGGCCTGAGTTCAATCTTGGTCCTGCCTAAATAAATAAATAAATTAATTAATTAAAAAAAAAAAAAAGGGCTGGAGAGATGGCTCAGTGGTCTAAGGCACCTATTTAGAACAAGCTTGGCAAAGCATCAGGGACCGCGGTTCAATCCCCCAGCACCACATGCCAGCCAGCCCCGCCCCCTGGTGGGCTGAGCTGGCCACAC